ATATCCCCTCCCAACCCCACAGACCCCAGATTTGAAATCCCTCTGCTCCGTAGGAGTGATCCCAAATTCCAGACCAGCTATAAACCCCGAGACTCATATGCCTGCGCCTCCCTGGCCCCGGGGCCCTCTCTGTTCCAGACAGAGACTTGAGGTGCAATCGGACACTTGGCTGGCCTGGAAGCTCTCTTTGTCCTGCACTTTGGGGAGCAAATGACCCAGAAAAAACTCTCGCCACCCAGCCTGTCCTCTGGGCTTCCTTTGCCCTGCGGGCCAGCCTCTGGCCGCCGCCCCCGCCCCTTCCTGGCAAGATTTGCCCCGGGAAGGAATCAAGACAGGAGAGGGATAAGCCCTCCGTGGGACCCCCTCCCACAGGCCCCGGCAGTGGGGGGCTCGAGCGCCGCTGTCTGGAAACTTGGGGATTTCTTCAGACCCTCCAGGAGGGCCCCACGCACCGCAGGACCCGGCTGCCCCACCCTCCCCTGCCGGCCCGGGCCTCCCTTCCTCAGTGTGGGGCATCAGAGACCAGCCGCGGCCTCCTCTGCCTCCCTGGCCTTCACCTGGGCCAACAATGACCCTTTTAAGTCTCTGGCTCGGGCGTCCCGGGCAGGTTGCCAGGGGCAGTAACTGCCGGCCAGATAATCCCTTAGAAACTATGTCAGATGCCCACGCACCAGGGTCAGTTTCCTGCTTTCCGGGCGGGGCGGGGGGGGGGGGGTAATGGAGGTCCCGGGGGCCTGAGGCCGGGGAGCTCCGTCCGCGCCGAGCAGGGTGGGGGCCTTACCCGTCTAGGAGCCTGGGTGGCCTCTGGGCAGGTGGCAGGAGCCAGGGCCTGGGTGCCTGCCCGGCGCGGGGGGACAGAGAGGGCCTGAGTCTGGGCTCGGGCCTCCCCACTCGCTTCCCCAACTCTTCCTCCCGCGTGGAGGCGGCCAGTCTGTCCCGCACCAGGGGAACCAGCAGGGTTAGGTGCAGGACGGAGCGAGAGGCCAGCAGCTGGTTGGGTGTGTGGCTCTGTCGCAAGGTGCCCTCACGTGGGACAGCTGGCCTTAACCCCTGCTCGCCCGGAGGCCAGGCCCAGCCGCCGCTCTGCTCTCTCTGGCGAACCCTGAGCCTCTGGCGTCAGCGTGGGGACCGGGACACGCGGGCAGGTCGGCGGGCGACGCCTGGCTGCCCTTCTCACCACCCTCCTCGAACCTGCGGAGGCCTCGCTCTTGCTGCGCCGCGTACGGCAGAGCCTTCTCACCGGACAGAGCTGAGCGCAAATTCTGCCTCTTGGCCCAGACTCACCCGGGGGAACCTGATGCCAGGAAGGTTCACCATTTCCCTGCTGGGCGGCTTTGAGCAAGTCCCTGAACCTTCTCGGTTTCCTCACCTGAAAAACGGGGAAGACCCTAGCGCCGGCTTCCTGGGGCTCTTTCGAAGGTCGAATGAATGAACGAATGTCTGTAAAGTGGGCGCCCAGTAGGTCCACAGCTTCCAGCCACTACCCATCCACCGGCAGGAGAATAAAGGCTCAGCAAAAAAGAATGTAAAAACCTCGCTGTTTTCAATGTTGATTCTGTGTTGAAATGACAATACTTCGGAGGTATTGGGTTAAATGACATATATTGCTTTTTTTTAATTAAAATGTTTTTGAGAGAGAGAGAGTGAGCAGGGGAGGGGCAGAGAGAGAGAGAGGAAGAGAGGACCCCAAGCAGGCTCTGCACAGAGAGCGCAGGGCCCGACGCGGGGCTCGAACTCACGAATCGTGAGATCATGACCCGGGCTGAAGTCGGATGCTCAACCGACTGAGCCACCCAGGCGCCCCTTACTGTTAAAATTAACCTTACCTGGTCATTTGTCCTGTTCAAAATGTGATTTCTAGAACATTTAAAACGACATTGGAAGTTTTACTCTTTAGTTGGCTTGGATGGTAGTTGGATGGGACCACGCTGAGGCAGGCGCTTGCTGCATATCGACGCGCTGTCTGCTAAGCCCGCCTGTATCCATCCGTCTGTCATCGCTGTACCAAGTCTGTGTTATTTCCAAAGTATTTATTAGCACCTGAAACGACTTTGGGTCTTGTGTCTGATTATCTGCCTTTCCAGACTGTCACCTCATTGAGGTTAAGGTTTTGTCTTGGTCACTCCTGGGTCTCCGTGGCCTGGAACAATGCCTGGTATACAGTAGGTGCTCAGTAGCTATCTGTGGCAAGAATGAATGAATGAATGAATGAATGATAGGGCTGAGGACGCATGGAATCCCTATCTGCAGCACCTGGTGATGACGGTAATGGCCACCAGGGGGCGCCAGAAACCAGGAAACCGGCCCCAGCCCGAGCCTCAGTTTCCCAGCTTGCAAAATGGGAACAGAGGAGCGGGGATGTGAGAGCCGGAAGGAGGGGGATCAGAGGCTGCGTCCCCGCCCACGTCCCCGCCCCTCCTCCCCATTCCCCTCGCGTGCTCTCCTGCCTCCCGCAACAACACTCGTTTGAGGTTGTTTGGTTTTTTTTGTTTTTGTGTTTTTTGTGTTTTTTTTTCAATAACGGGTGCACTTAATGCGCGCACTCCGAGGAGTGCAATTCTCATTTAGATTCGCTAAACTTAGTGGTGCCACTGCCACCCCACAATTTCTCCCTTCCCAGAGGCTCCTCCCCTTTGGCATCTCTCAACTGATTGACATACACTTCCGCACGTCTAAATAAGACCTGTTTTGCCACTTTTTGGTGCTTTCAATTTTAGTATTGACTTCCCTCCCAGAGAGATTCCGAATCAACCTGAAAGTTGATTTTTTTGTATTTGCTTCGTGGTCCTGATCCTCCAGGTGTCTGAGCCAGTAGTTTTCAAACTCAGGCATCGGAATCGCCTGGAGGGTCGGGGTGGGGGGTGAAGGGCGTTTTCTGAAACCCAGATTACAGGCCCCACCAGCTGCATCTGCATGTCTAACAGCTCCCAGGTGATGCTGAGGCTGCGGGTCCAAGAACCACACTTGCAGAACCTTGCTCTAGTCTTTCAAAGCAGATTCTAGATGATTCAGGAGATCTGTCCATGGCATGTGTCCAAAGAACTCTTCCTGGAGCCTTTTTTTTTTTTTTTTTGGTTTAAACGATGGTAAAATGCACATAACATAAAATGTACCATCCTCACCCTTTCTAAGTGCACAGCTCAGCGGCGTCAACACACGCACACTGTCGTGCAGCCGCCCCCACCATTGTCTCCAGAACTTTCCATCTCCCAGACTGAGACTGTGTCCCCATGAAGCACGGACTCCCCGCCCCCCATCCCACACCCAGCTCCCACCATCTACTCTCTCTCTCTGTGGACGGGTCGCCTCTGGGGACCTCCTGTGGGTGGGGTCACACAGGATGGGTCCTTCTGTGTCTGGCCTCTGTCACTGCGCACAGTGTCCCGGGTCCAGCCATGTTGTAGCAGGTCTCAGATTTCCTTCTTTTCTAAGGCTGGATAATATTCCAACGTGTGGATGGACACACTGTGTTCGTCCTTGGTCTTTTGATTCCCTTAAGCCTTTTGAGTCCCCCAAGGGTGGGCTGTCTTCTGACGCCCGCTAAACCGGGGATTCCTTTCACCACACCGAGTCTTGTTCTCCATCCCTTCCCTTTCTTGACTTGTGTCTTTGTTTTGATGGAGAACATTTCAGAAACATCTTTGTAACCCCCAGTTCTGACTGGGACCTTCTCCATTTTCCTGGTTTCCTAACATCTCATTGCCAGGCACCCCACAGCCCAGTCTCCAACCTACCTTGCCAGCACCCCACACAGTCTCCGGAGTCAGACAGGCTTGGGTGGAAACATCCTAGGTCTGCCCCTCACTAGCTGGGTGTCCAGACTCCCCTACTCACCCGCCAGCAGAAGCCATTAGTCATGAATAAAACTAATAATACCAACCTTTATTATTCTCCAAATCGTGACCTCAGAATTAGTAACCTCCTAGCCATGTCATTAATAAAGTCACCATTAAACTTTACTGACTGTGTGAACACAATTATTCTTAATACACTGACTCACAGCATGATCATGATTCTTTGTGATTCTGAGCAAGTGGCTTCAGCTTTCTGAGCTGTCTTCTTGTGTGTAGAGCGGAAATGATAATAGTTCCCATCTGGTTGATCAATACTATCAAATATGTATTTTATTCTAGGTGTTATGTTCTATATTAGGTACTGGGAATGTATTCACAGTAAAAACAAACAAAAAAGTAAACAAGAACTAGCTGTCTAACTTTTTTTTTTAATGTTTTCTTACTTATTCTTAACAGAGAAAGAGACAGAGCAGGAAGGGGGAGGGCCACAGAGAGAGGGAGACACAGAATCCCAAGCAGGTTCCTGGCCCTGAGCTGTCAGCACAGAGCTCGACACCCACGGACCGTGAGATCATGACCTGAGCTGAAGTCGGTCGCTTAACAGACTGAGCCACCCAGGCGCCCCAATAGGTCTCTAGCTTACGGAGACATTGTATGCAGAGGCTTTAACGCTTTTAAATGTATTGTCACTTATTATGCTGTACATGATGTTTTTTGTTATACAAGATACTTGCATATTGTCTATTGAGTTTATGTGTGTTGTAATAACATACTTTGTTTAGCAGTGATATTAGTATGTGTATGTTAATATCACATCATCATTTATACACTGTGCATATAACACAAATCAAACTCATTTATTAAGCCATTATAATTACTACTTATGACAGAGCATATGCCATGAGTAAGTGTCATCTGCAATATGACGGTAGATACTTGATTAATCGCAGACTTCGCTCATGCGTATTGCCTGGGAGAGTATTAGGGCAACAGGATTAAGCGCAGGGCACGCCGCTGCCCTTCCACCCCCGGGCGCTTGGGGGCGCGCGAGGCGCGGGGACGCACGCGGGCCCACCCCCGAGCCCCGATTGGCGGCGCGCGCGCTGCGCCGCGGCGCACGCTGGCCCCGCCTCCGGGCCCGCCCCCCGCGCCCCGGGCCCGGCCCCCTCCCTCCGCCCTCCGGCCGGCGGCGGTTGTTGTTCGGCGGCGGCGGCCGCAGCTCGGGTGCAGCCGCCGGCCGGTCCGCGCGCGCGGCCATGGAGCTGGAGGTGCCGGACGAGGCGGAGAGCGCCGAGGCGGGGGCCGTGACCTCGGAGGCGTCCTGGGCCTCGGAGAGCGGGGCGGCGGCAGGTAACGGTTCCGGACCTCCGTCCCTCCCCGCTCCCCGAGTGGACCCGCCTGGCCTCCCCCCGCCGGGGCCCAGTGGACCCGCCCGAGCGCCGGAGGGGCGCCGGGACCCGCGGCGGCGAGGCCGGAACGTTCCACTCGGGGGCGCTCGCGGGGGGGATGGGACGCCCCACGCGGGGCCCGGGGGAGGATGGAGCGCCCCGCCTGGGGGCTCGGGGCGGCGCCGCCCTTCCCCGGGATTCCGGGGGCACCGCGAGGGTGGGTGCGGGGCCCCGTTCGGGAAGGCCGTGGGGGGGCAGCCCCCTCCGGAGGCGTGCGGGGAAGACGGTCCTCGGGTCTGCGGTTGGGGGAGGCGGTGAGACCACGCTGTGGGTGGGTGCGCCGCCTCCTGCCGAGGGCGCCTGGGGACGGCATCCCCCCAGGCTCGTTGGCGTGTGGGGTGGTGGAGTGCCTCCGTGCTGGTGACGGGCCATGCCTCCTGGGGGGGCATGGCAGGGAGGTGACACTGCCCCAGATGTGCCCTCCCTTCCTGGACACGCCGCGGGGCCGCCCACCTTGCTGGCATCCGCCTCGGGGATCGCCCCTTCCTTCCACAGGCAGCCACCCGTATGGGCACATCTTATTGGTGGCGAAGGGCAGGCGCTGCCAGCGTGGACGTGGGGGGTCTTCGAGGCCATCTGGGCCTCCTGACGATCTCATTTCTCTTCGTGGGAGTCACCAGCCCCGGTCTCTAGCGCAGGCCATTGATTGCCTTTTTGGGCCTCAGTTTACCTCCTTATGACAGGAGGGGGCTAAGGGCATGACATCTGGCGCTACCTTCAGTGCCAGGGTGCTGCAGGCAAGTGGGGGGGTAAGCCCCCCGCCTCCTGCCTGGACCCCGGGGTTGCTGTTGGTGTTTGCGCCCCTGCCTCCCCCCTCAGTCTTCAGAACAGCAGGTGGGGGGAGTGGGTGGCCCGGCCCGTGGGCTCCCCACCTGCTGTTCCCAGGGCACCTGCAGAGCGGAGCTGCTGCCCAGACGAATGGCCCCCACTCTTGCAAGCTTCCTTCTGGGTGGCATTCTCAAGCCTCCAGACAGAAGTTTCCGGATCCGCAGGATCCTCCGCGCTCCTCAGGCAGCCCTCGCTTGCAGACACCCACGTGGGCATCCGTCTTCCTTCTCCCCCAGACCTCCTGAAGCTTCCTGGGCAGGCGGTCCGCGTTGTGCGGTGGGGGGAGGGGGATGTCTGGAGTGAGGCCCCTGGCTCTGGAGGCGCCCCGCTTCCTCCACCATCCTGTCGCCTCGCCGTTGCTCTTGTTAGACATGGTTCAGGGACCCAGCGGCCCCTTTATCAGACCCCTGACTTCCACCGTGAACCCTCTGGCCTGCGCGGGTCAGAGACAAAACAGCTCAAGACTCAGTGACCGCAAGAAAGCCACACAGCAAACGTTTATTTTATCGGGGGCTCGTGGGCCAAATGGGGGCAGATAAAGCCCCAGGCCCGGCGGTGGCTGGGTCCAAGCGTGCGGACCGGGCAGATAAGGGGTCAGCCCTGCCTGCCTGTCACCCAGATGGGCAGAAACCCAACCCCCCTGCCCCCAGCAAATCGTTTATTTCACTCACTTTAAAACTAAAAGCTGCTGTTTCCCTTCCAAACTCACTTCCCCCTGAGTCCTGAGTTCGGGGAGTAAGTGTCCCCGCCCCTCCTCCTGCTCAGGGAAATGAGGAGGCGCCTGACCGGGGGGTCGTTGCCTGGGTGCTACTGACGCTTGGGCTGCAACAGTCTCTGTTTTGGGCACCGGAGGCTGTTGAGCAGACTCTGGCCCCGCCCGTGCAGGGCCAGGAGCGTGTCCCCTGAGTGGTGATGACCCTGTGTCCACACACAGCTCAGTGTCCCGTCCAGGACACACAGTCTCCCTGGGTGAGGAACCGCTGCGCTTCACCTGCGACTCCGTGACTCGCTTTGCTGTTGATCCGCAGTAATCGGAATCTTCCCCCCACGTTGGTATCAGTTTTTATTTCCCTTCCGAGGGAGCGAATACGGGGCATGATCAGAGGATGCGCACTCCAGACGTACTGCTTGGGCTTGGCTCAGTTGCTGTGTGACCTTGAAGAACAAATGCCTTGGCTTCTCTGAGCCTCAGTGAGCCTGTATGTGGAATGGGGTGACGCCTATATCTCCTTGGGGCTGGCTGGGAGCCTTGCCTGAGTTAGTACGCGTTGGCACGCTGCCAGTGCTTGATGCCCGTTAGGGACAGCGCGTTTCAGGCACCAGCCATGACTGATCCTCCCGCATCTGCTCAGGGCCATTCCGGCTGCCTTGGCATCCACCTTGTGCCGTTAGAAGCGGTGCCGTGGGAAACATCTTTGAACATGGCCCCTAACTGGTGCTTTAACTTCTTTCCGGCAGTTGAAGTCCCTGTGTTGGAATGGCTGAGTCGTGGCGAGCAGATTGAAAATTATTACCTGACGCCTGTTGGCTTTCCAGAAAGGTCTGGCAGGGGCGGAGAGAGACTCTGGCCAGCGCTGCCAGCTCCGAATGTTACCAGCCTCGGTGATTTGGGCCAGTCTGATGGAGGGGAGATTTGGGGCCGATCTGATGGAGGTGAAATGATATCTTGGGGTTTAGTCTGGTTACTTTCAACGCTCCGCTCCTTGCTCCCAAGGGCTGGTCCAGAAACGGCCCGATGGGGTTCTCCGCTGGCGTTTGGGGCCCGCGCTGCGGTCCACTGCTCTGAGCCACGTCCCCCTCCTGTCCTTCCTGCTTGCGTGACAGCACTGAGCAGCTGGCTTCGTTCCCAGCGTCCCCCCCGCCCCCCCGCCAGCCCCCTCTCACATCTAATCTGGTGGCAGATTATGCTGGTTTTGTCTTCAAAAGGGACCCAGAGTCTGCCTACTTCTTCCTCCTCTGCCAGTGCTGGTCTAGCCCCATCATCCATCACGGGCTTGGTCCCCCGTCTCGTCTTGTCCCATGCGCCCTGAGGCTCATTCCAGAAGGGTCCTGCTCTCCTCTGCCCACAGGCCTTTAGAGCTCCCACTGCCCTGGGGTAAAAGCCCAAGTCCTCCCTGAGGCCCCCAAGGCCCTGCACAACCCGCCCCATCCCCTCCCTGCGCTCCCCTTGTCTTCCCCTCACCCACTCTGTTCCAGCCACATGGCCTTGGTCCTTACTGTTCCTCCTAGGCCTAGTCCTGCCCCAGGGCCTTTGCACATGTTGCGCCATCTGTCTAGAACATTTGTCCTTTATACCTGTGGTGTTTGCTTCCTTAGTTCTTTCAAGGTTTTGCTCAACTGTCTCCTCAGTGAGGCCTGCCCTGACCTTGGAGAGAGGCCTGAAGGAGAGAAAGGAAGACAGCACAGCCTGGGCGAAGGCCTGGTGCACTTGAGAAACAACAGGGGCCGCCGGGGCTGGGTTGGGGCTCCATCACCGGCAGCCTCCTCTGTGGTTGTGGGCAAGTGGCCCCTCATCCCCTTGCTGCCAGTCAGCAGGAACCTCCCAGTTGCAATTCTGGCCTGGATGCTTCTTGGCAATGTGACACGTGTCCCTCTGACAGTCTGGTCCCCTCCACGGAGACCAGGCCAGACCACGTGGCTCACAGCCCAGCTGCACCCTTCACCAGCCAGGGACACTCTGCCTCGGCGTCTCCATCTGTGAAATGGGTGCGATGACTGTACCTTTCTTCTAGAGCCGAGTCTAGCAGATTGACATGTAAGCCCTTAGAAGTGCACCTGGCGCGTAGCCAACTCCCTGTGGGTGCTGGGATTTTCCCGCCTCAGGTGGTTGTGCGGGTGAGAGAGGGCCACGTGCTATACGCTGGGCCCCCGCAGAACCCGGCACGGCACATGAGGACACGCAGTCACGTCTCACTTGGCCCTTGAACAATGCTGCTTAAACTTCTTTCACGCACCTGCCGTGGGCAGCAAGTCTCCAGGTGCAGTGGTCTGGGGGCTCCCTCCCCGCTCCCGTGGGCTCTCAGATTGGTGGGGGTCAGAGTGAGGGGGGCGGACAAGCAGACTTGGTGGGACCAGTGGTCAGCAGACTGGCTCCTGGGGCCAATTCCCATCCATCACTAGTTTTTGTCAATAAAGTTTTATTCTCACACAGCCGCGCCCACCCACTCACATGCTGTCTGACAGCTTTTGTGCTACAGACCTTCTGGCCCATAGAGTGTGAAATGTGCACGGTCTTGTGCACCGTGGATAATTCTGCTGACCCCTAAGTGAGCACAGGCTGGTCAGTGGTGAGCACGTGGAGGGAAAAGAGACCGTGTTGCTGCGATCACCAGCGTGGGGCCAGCTGCAGCCTGGGTGGTCGGGGAGGAGTGGCCTACACGAGAAAAATAGCCATGGGAGACCGATTAGCAGGCAGAGGGATTCGCCTGTGCAAAGGCCCTGAGGTAGGAATAAGCTTGACTCATTTGAGCACAGAAACAAAGTTCTTGCTGTGGGGGGGCCTGCAACAGGCTGGGCCAGTCATGTGGGGCCTTTGGGGGGCCCTGGCACAGCACCCTGGCTGGTTGGCTGGGAAGGAGGTTTCTGGTACAGGCGCCAGCTGAGCGGTGCCGAGATGTGCTGGGGGCCTGCGTGGAGGCCTTGGGGGGTGAGGGGTTGAGGGATGCGAGCAACCCAGAAGGGATTGGTCAGTGCCCTGGAGCTGGTGGGGGGTGAGGGCAATGCCTGAGAAGGAGCAAGTTCGGCAGGCTCATGCCGGTGTGGGAGGGGCAGGCGGGGGCCCTGGGGTGGGGGCAGGACAGGGGGAGCCCCAGGACCCTGGGCTGGGAAGCCCGGGTCTTGACCTGGGTCTGGCCCTGCCTTGGCCACAGACAGCTGTGCCTCTGAGCCAGTGAAGTCCCTGCCCCCCTTCTCAGCTCGCCGCAAGATGAGAGGGGGTTCCAGGGGTTCGGGGGACAGGGATAGGGGCGGCCTGCAGCCCCCAGCTGGCGCTCAGTGAATGACAGCTACGGGACATCAGCATTTATCGCCGGGGAGGCCCGGGCTCCTGGAGGGTCTCAGGCCCCCAGGCCTTCCTACCTGCGCCGCCCACCGCTGTGACTGAGCCACGTGTCACCACTCGTGACAGGGCCGGCTGGCACCCACTGGGGGTTGGCTGCCGCCAGCTGGCCAGCAGGGCCTGGAGCAGCGCCCCGCCCTGTGTGGGGATTACCGACCCCGGGGATTAGCTGCGGGGCCCTGCACCTGCCGCACCGGAGGGCTTGGGCCAGAGCGAAGGCCTTTCGGGGACCTGGCCTGTGACTTTGGTTGGAAAACGGAGCCCCCGGCGTTCTGTCACCCCTGCTTTCTGTCTCACGCGTGTGCCACGCACATGTTTCTTGCCCTTTGTTCTGGATGCGTGGGGTTGCGCCGAAGGGTTAAGGGAGTGGGGTGCTGTTTGGGCATTTGCGTATGAGGGACCCCCCCAAGGTGCGCTTAGGCCAGACCGCTTGGCCTTGCTCACCCCTCCCCACATTTAATAACGTACATCTCAGAACTCGCTCTGTTTTATGGGAACCGTGGGGTGTATCTTTCCCGTATTCTGTTGGACTACCAGTCTTTTTCTTATTGATTTGTGGGAGCTCTTTATATATTGTGAAAGGTTTTTGTTGTGTTTTTAAATTTGTGATTCAAGTGTGAGTAGTCTTTCCCCACCTTCTCTTGTGACAATAAATGTCAGGCAGGGACCTTTGTGTTTATGTGGTCAAGTTTATCAGTCTCTCCTTTAATGGTTTCTGTTTGGTGTCGTGGATGGAAAAGTGCCCCCCGTCCTGAGGTTCTAATTCTGCTAGTGCTTCGGTAGTTTCAGAGCCCTGCCTGCTAGGGGTGCCCCGCGCCCTGCATGAGGATTTCCTTGTTCCTCGTTTTTCCGGGGGCTCAGGGTCGTCCCAACTCTTCCTGGATCGTCTGCTCCCCTCACCGATGGGAGATGCCCCCTCCGTTACATCCGCATCCCTGCCTGCAGCTGGTCTATTTCTGGACTTTCTATTCTGTCCCACTCATGTGCCTGTCTCCTTGCAGCGGGCGAGTCTGAAGCTACGAGTAATAACACGTTTCCCTTAAGCAGCAGCAGCCTGACCCGTGGTCAGGAGAAGGGGAGGGATTCTGTCTCGCCCTCTCTGCTTCTAGGAGGAGGTGACCGTCAGTCATTTCAGGAGGTTTTCTGTGCTCACACATACCTTTTATTTATTTATCTTCTAACATCATATTTTGAAAACATCCATGCCTGCAGAGCAAGTTGCACGAGACTGCGGTGGACACCTCAGGCCCTTAGCTGAGCTTCACCCGCTGCTGAGCTTCTCTCTGAACGGGTGTTATTGGCTGTGTGTGGCTTTGAGGGTCAGTTGCAGACGTTCTGCCCCTTTGTCCCTAAATTCGGAGGTGTGGCCGGTTCTCATTATTCAGGGTTCTGCCGTGCAAAGTGGCCGTGAACGTGGAGTTGGGGAATCCTGGGGTGCGGCTTCTGGGGGCACACGGGTCCCTGCGTCCCTCTGGTCCTGAGTTCCATCACCGGGTCACGTCACTATGTAACCTTTCTGCATAAAGACCCTTTTTAAAATACACCTTGTTGGCTCCTCAGCACTGACCTCATGGCGAGCAGCGCTGACTCCTGCGGTCGGAAGCTGGTCTAACACACAGAGGCGCGTCGCGGTCCCCTGGGCTCTGGGACACCTAACTCCGCAGCTCTGAGCCTGGGGGGCATTGCACGCAGTGAAAACCACCAACAAACAGCCCCAGAATGTAAAACCTGGCTCTCAGGAGCTCACGGAAAGGGCCCGGATCTAGAGCAGGCGCCCGGAGGAGCCGGGAGGAGCCGGGACGTGGTTAGCGCTCGGCCGGACGGTGCGTGGGAGGTGACAGTTTTCAGTCCCCTGCGTGTGCCTCCAGGTGACCCGGAAGGGCTCCTGATTATTGATTAGGTGCGTGAGCGCGGGTGCGGAATCGGGTGCTGCGGGCGCCCCTCCGCCGAGTGCAGAGATCACGTTCAGGAGCCTGACACCCAGGCGGTGCGTCCACGGTTGTCCCGGGTGGCGGCCTCCGATCCCTCGCTAGGGTCCGGCCCAGGATCACCCCTCCGGGCCTGGGGGCGGGCGGGACCCCACTCGGGAAGCCCACCTGCTCCCCCCGGGCATCAGGCCCTGGGCTTCCGTGGGAGGCCTGTGCCCGGCATGGACGTGTGTGCAACCGTGCCTGTGGCAAGAGTGGCGAAAGTTCTGGAATCTTGCTTCTCTGGAACTCCGTCCACCCGCCCAAGGCCTGAGCCTGCCGAGCCCTGGATTCGTGGCCGCCCTCCCCCATCCTTTGCAAGGCTTCCTGTTTACCACTCCGGGAACAGTCGCTCAGGGCCCGAGATGAGGGTGGGGATGCAGATGCCGAAGGGGGCGGGCCTCCGCGTGGGGGGCGGGGCCGGCGCCTGGCCAGGGCCCCGCCCCCCCCGGCCCCCCCAGCGGCACCCTCCCCTCCCGCCACCCCGGCCCTGGCTCTCTGTTCCCCGAAAGCATCCCGTCCTGTTCCCACAGGGCCGTGGGCTGTGCTCCCCACCCTAGGGCGCCTGCACCCTGGTGTCCCTCGCGGCCGTGTGCTCAGGGTCCCCGCGGGGAGGCGGTGTCGGTGCCTTGCTGCCCTTCGGGGCCTAGTGACGCCCCGCGTCTCACGAGGCCGGACGGACCTTTGGGCAGTTCCCACTTTCCGCCCGTTCCGGATGACGTTGCCGTTGCCGTTGCCGAGCGTGGCGCCAGGCCCCGTGCGTGTTGTCCCTTCCCTTGGGCAGATGGAAGCTCCGCGGGCCGCCCGACTGCACGGCGGCCGCCCCGCCGGCCCAGGGCCCTGATCCCCCCACTCCTGGAGCCGCGTGGAGCCTAGCCCTCCCGGTGGGCGCGAGGTGGCGTCTTCCTGCGGTTTTGCTTTGCATTTCCTGCTGATGGGTGACGCGAAGCAGGCTTTCCTGGGCTTGCCGGCCATTTGTCCGTTCTCCCGCCAGAAGCGTCTCTTGAGATCTTTGCTCATTTTTTATTTGGGTTGATTTTCTTGTTGAATTGTCAGCACTTTTTATATATTCTAGATACGATACAGGTCCCTTACTGGATCTATGACGTGCAGATATTTCCTCCCATTCTGCAGATTGTCTCTTCGATTTCTTGGTGCTAGGCTACCTTTGAAATGCAAAGATTATTTTTAAGTTTATTTAATTTTTTAAGTAATCTTTTTGCCCAACATGGGACTCAAAGTCATGACCCTGAGATCAAGGCCTCCCGGCCTGAGCTGGCCGGGTGCCCTGTGGTGCAAACATTTTTAATTTTGAGGAAGAGTCCAGTTTATGTTTCCTTCGGCTGTTTGGACTTCAGTTGTCACGTCCAAGAAACCACAACCCGACTCACCGCGATGATTTGCCCGTTTTCTCCTGAGAGCTCTGTGGCTCCATCCGCTCGGTTGGCTTAGATTTCTGCTGCTTCTGGAGCCCTCCGAGCGTCTGGCGTGAGGTAGGCTGTGCGTGAAACCCGGATGTCCTAGAGCCACAGGCCGACAGGGAGCCGTCTGGGTGCTGTTGAAATCCGCAGGCTGGGAATGTGCGTGTTAAGTTCTGGGTCCTCACTGATGCACTCTGGACCATTCCACGGGCATCCCCGTCTGTCTACACCCGGACCACACTGCCTTGATTACTGTGGCTTTGCTGCCATATTGAAATGGGGAAATGGGATTCTTCCGACTCTGTTCTGCATTTTACATTGTTTATTTTTGAGAGAGAAGGAGAGAGCACGCATGCGTGCATGGGTGGGGGAGGGGCGGGGGTGGGGGGGCAGAAGGTCTGAAGCAGCTCCAGGCTCTGTGCTGACAGCAGTGACCCGAGGTGGGGCTCAAGCTCCCAAACCATGAGATCACTACCTGAGCCAGAGTCAGATGACCCTTCAGCCGACTGAGTCCCCAGGCGCCTCCCGCGTTTTACATCTTCACGTATTAAGTTTGGGTTGGCTCTTAGCTGCTGACGGTGTCGCTCAGAGCCGCTGGGTTCTTTTAAACGCTGTATGATACTCCCTTGTATACATACTAGTCACCCATGCCACCCGCTTATCGGCTCGTTATTGAGCACCCGCTGTATGCCGGGCCCGCAGGGAAGCCCATGCCCGGTAGAACCCAGAAGGGGCCCAGGAAGCGTCCGGCACCGGGCAGTGAGGCCTTTGCCCCCGTGACAAGAGCAGCATGGGCGGCTTGGGCGTTCATTCAGCGCCTAGATCAGCCTCCAGCCCTGGCCTGGCCTCCACCAGGGTGGATCCCAGGCTTGCCTCCAGGAAGCCCCCAGGCTGGGAAGGCCTGGAGAAGGCCAGCCACACGTGGGTCCCCACGGCGACAGGGGCAACAAGGCCTGTCCCATCCCTACCCTCATCTCTTCTTACTCTGTTCCGGCCACTGGTCCTCTGTGCCGATTCCCCAACTCTGCAGGCACAGTCCTGCCCCAGGGCCTTTGCACCAGCTCTTCCTTCCTCCGGGGAGGCTCTGCTGCCTTTGGCACGGCTGGCTCTTGCCCATCCCCTTCCCTCCGTGAGCCTGTGGCCTGGCTGCCCGGAGTCATGTGCGTCCATTCCACTTTTCCCTGGGGAGCCTCAGGCCGGTGACCTGGCCTCTCAGAGCCGTGGCCCCCACCTCGCACGGCTGTCGGATGTGTCAGACGGTGTGGTTCAGACCCAGCAAATGCCAGCCCTTTGTTACTGTGCCCACATGCCTGCTGCTTCCTAGCCGGTCCCTGGAGCCCAGTGGGGTGTTGGAGCGGTGGCTCAGTGGTTAGGGATGTGCTGCAGGTGGTGCCCCAAGGCCCTTCCCTCCCACCTGCCTCCTGAGCCATGCCCTTCGTGCCCTGGCCCCTGACCATGACTCCCGGGGTCACCACCAGGGAGAAGGGAGCGGGTCCCGGTGCTGCAGCCAATGGGTGTGAGCACAGGCCCCCGGGCTGTGGTGGTGGAGCAGGATGCGAGTGCTGCCCTCACGGGGCTCCGGGCCTCGAAGGGAGCAGCCACTGGAGGACCCGCGGATTAAATAGAAGGTTGAAACTGACTGGGGCAGGAGTTATGATGGGGGGCGGAGAACGGGTTAGGGAGCTGGCCTCACCAGGGGTGCAGGGAGGCCTCTCTGAGGCCGAGATTGATCCAGGCCTGAACGGTGAAATGGGGAAGAGCATCCCAGGTAGAGAAGCATGTGCAAGGGCCCTGGGGCAGGATTGTGCCTGGTGCCTGTAGGGAACAGCAAGGAAGCTGTGTGACAGGAGTGCAGGGGGTGGGGAAGGGGAGGGCAGGGAGGCCATCCTGGTTGACAGCCCCCACCCGCTGTCCTTCTCTGTACTCTAAGCGGCCGTGTGGAAACCCCAAGCAGATCAGATGGCTGTTGCTGTGGACATAGACCCCAAAACATAGCAGCTTTAAACAACGGCTCGCATTTGTTACCTCCTGGTGTCTGTGGTCAGGAGTCCACGGGTGGCCTGTTCTGGTGTGGGGTATCTGATGAGGTTGCAGTCGAGCCTCCCGCCTCATCCAAAGGCTCAGCTGGGGCTGTAGAAGCTGCTGTCTGCCGGCAGGTGGCCTCCTCACCACACGGCCGATTCTCCCCAGGTGAGCGACCCCAGGGCAGGCCAAGGCCGCGCCTGACCTGTGTCAGAGGCCACGTGCTCCCACCCCAGCCGTGACCCGTGGATCATGCCCGCAGGCTGCTGCAGCGGGCCATCCCGGAGACCGCAGAGCCTCCTGACCTCTGTAGGCGGGGTGGTCGCGGCCCTCGCCTCACCGGGTGGAGTGCAGCACCAGCGGGAGCCGGACCCGGAGTGACCTCGAGGTGCGGGGGGTCCCTGGGAATCCCAGAGCCCGGCCTGAGGCCTCCGTATCAGCCAGCTCCGGCCCCCGGGGATTCTGAGAGCCCAGACCTGCCCTGTCGGGGCCGCTGGCCCACACGGGAAGTTATGGGCATGTCGGGAGAAGGCCCAGCCCCGGCTCCCCGCCTCCCCTGCCCCCCCCCCCCCCCCGCCGCCTGGCCAGTGCACACCTACCATGAGTGACAGGAGCCGGGCCAAGGGCGCCTCTAGCCGAGCAGCACCGGCCTGCCTGGTGGCCCTTGGAGTTTTAGAATTCAAGTGCAGTGTCTGCAGCCCAGCCCTGGCTTCCGGGGAGTAGAAATATACTTGGGAAGAAAACTGGGCCAAGAAACCTCACACCCAGGCCCTGAGACAGCACGTGATCTTCTGTCGGGCACCTGCCAGCAGGGGCTGCCCCCCCAGATGTGCTCCTGCCCCTGTGTCTTCAGGTCTCGCCCCTCCCCCGCCCTTCCCGAGGGGAGGTCTGCAGTTGCCTGCTGTCCCCGTGAGGAACCCCCACCCCCCACAGCCGGGCAGAGTGCTGCTGGCTCCTGGGTGGGGACGCGGCCTCGGCACGTGACCCACAGGCGCCGGCTTGAGGGTGGGGGTCACGGGGAGGACAGCAGCCCTGGCAGGCGGGAGACCGAGCCCCCACGGCCCCACTTTTACCTCTTCAGTTAGGTTGGGGCCGGGCAGGCTTGTCCTGTGAAGGGCCGGGGGGCCTCTATGTAAGCGTTCGGTTATAGTAGTGCAGCAGCCACCACGGAGATTCACAAGGGGCGGGTGTGGCTCTGTGCCAATAAAACTTAATCACAACAGACAGGAGGTGGGTCTGGTCTGCAGGGCACAGTTTACTGGCCCCTGAGTTGTATTAACAAATATTCTTCCTCACATACGGGGTTCTTCCGACAGTGTGAGTTAGGTTTCTGTCTCAACACAAAACCCCCAATACCACTTTTTTGAGCCTCAGTTTCCCCCTCTGAAGAAGTGAGATGAGAGGCATTGCTCAGGGTGGGCCGGGGGGAAGCCCCACGGGTCGTGGCCTTGCTGGCATTCACCCTGCCTCAGATGGCCAGCTCAGGGAACATGTGAGAGCCACGTTCCCCTCGCTCTCCCCCTGAGGCTCCCGGGGGTGCTTGCTCTCAGCCTCCTCCATGCAGCCCTCCAGGGTTTCTCTGCTGATGCTCACTGAGGCCTGCTCTGTGCCTGGGAGCTGGTGCGGGGGTCATGGAGGGGGACAGGGAGAAGTGGCCTCCCCCGCGGGGCTCTCGGTGGAGCCAGGAGACTCCTGAAGGCGGCACTGTGGCGTGGGTTTCCCAGGGAGAGGCCGTCAGGAGATGTCAGACTCACAATTATAGGTCCCAAGATGGGCACGGGGAAGGCGCTTACCGAGCAGAGGGGAGGGGAGGTGGGGAGAGGGCCCAGGGCCCCAGCCGTGAAGGAGCCCAGACGGCGGAGGACCAGACGGGAGACCACAGGCCGGGCAGCAGGCGCTGGTCTGGGACGGCGAGCCTGGGGCCCCAGCGTCCGAACCTGTGAGCGGAGCAGTTCCACCCCCCCCCCGCCCCCACCGTCCCCGTGAAGGCAGGGGTGACCCTGGGCGGAGTGTCCGCTGCTTGTGCCGGGACCGACCGAAGCTGGTGCTGGCGGAGAGAGCCGCACAGCAGAAGTCGGTCAGCAGACGGGCGTGGCCTGGAGCTCTGCCCTTGAGCCCAGTTGCCGGCGTGGGGGTGGGGGGCTCACACAGGTGGCTGGGTGCTGGGGGCACATTCAGGAGCAGCCTGGAGGGTCAGGGAGAGCCACCCAGAGGGGAGGAAGCTTCCAGTTGCCGTGAGGACGGGTCAGCTTGGGCTGCCTTGAGCCGACCTGACAGCCAGCCCTGTGGGCAGAGTGAGTCTACAGGGACTAGGGACCCCCTGCAGCTGAGCTACCTTGAACTTGCCCAGACCTCTGAGCCTCAGTCTCCTCAGCTGTAAAGTGGGTCCAGGGACGGTAGTCTCCCTGGAGTGTTAGAAGGTTGGGGGTGTGCTTCCTGGGCGCCAGCCCAGCGCTGGGGGGTGTGCGCACCTGTGGTTTTTCCGACAAAGATCTGCAAACAGAAGACGGCAGTACACGGGGTATACAGTAAATGTTTTTATTATGAAATATTTTGTTATTTTTTAATGTTTATTTTTGAGAGAGAGAGCGAGCTGCAGGGGAGGGGCAGAGAGAGGGAGAGAGAGGATCCCAAGCAGGCTCTGTGCTGTTGGCACTGAGCCCGACATGGGGCTTGAACCCACGGCCCAGGAGATCACGACCTGCACCGAAACCCAGTGGGACACTTAAGCGACTGAGCCCCCCAGGCGCCCGACACGTTGGTGTCTGTTACATCAGGCTGTGCTTTTCTGGGCGCTTCCAGTCTTTTGTTACTAAACCTCTCCCGTCCCCGGAGCAGGGCCCAGCACGCGGGAAGTGCTCCGACTTTGGGTGAGCGAGTGAATGAGTGAACAATGAACGGAATGTTCTTCGGGAAGGTGGGCACTAAGAGCAGTCTGTGATTCCGTCCCTGCCCTGACTCACCGTTCCCGGCGGTTCAGAGTAGGACACGCGGAACCGTGAGAGGAAAACCGTCCGAGGGGAAGAGCGGGGTCTCGCTAACCCCGAAGCCCTGGTTTGAGACTTGCCCGAATTTTGCAGTTTAGCTGCTGCCTGGGTCCTGCCCCTGTGGGGGCCCCGCTGGTGGGCTGTCCCCCGGCTGCGGGGCCAGAGCCGTGAGGGTCCCGCGTGCGCTGGGGCCAGGCGACCGGGGTCCAGCCCAGCCCCTCCCGGCCGGGGCAGCGTGTCCCGCGGTGTCTGCGCCTTCAGTCCCTGACAGGAGATGTCGAC